AGGCTGGAAGGGAGAGAGGGGACCCTGCTGCAGCCCCCTCCAGGCCTGGGAGAAGGGAGTGAAGAGCTCCAGGAGCAGAGAGGAGGTTGGGGGGCTGCAGTGATGAGAGAGGCTGGGCAGGAGCAGAATACATTGCTGGGCAGGGGACAGGCAGATGGGACCCAAATCACTCAGCAGATACATTCGGGAGAGAGGGCGACACTGAGTGTGACCCGCACATGCTGGGGCCGGGCAGCGGAGTGCAGCAATAAACAGACAAACTAAAAAACACCGTCTAGTCTCTTGGGGGGAAAAAACCCTCATGATCTTGTCAGCCAATCTCATGATACTTGGGGCCGATCTTGTGATTTTGGGGGGGCCTGTCTCATGATTTCTGATCTCTCGAGGTTGGCAGAACCGTGTCTCTCTGCTCAGTGCCTGGCGCCCTCAGGACCCAATCTTAGCTGCCACCGCACTGCCAATGACAACGATAGTGGGCTTGACTGGGTCAGCAGTTGACGGGTCCGACTCCCACAGGAAGCGGCCCCTCCCTTCTGCATTGGGGCCTCGCTCCTCACAGAAATTGGGGACGGGAGAGGCCTGTTAGAACACCCAGCCCCTGGCCCGGGGGTAGGGCCAGGATTGTCCCCTCCAGGACACCTGCGAGGGCTTTGCCCAACGTACGTTTCACAGTCCCATGCAACGGAGCTTCTGCCATGCCCCGGGGCCGACTGGTAGATCTCTCTGGCAGGAAGGCTTTGCCACTATTCAGCCTCCTTAACCCCACCCCATTGCTCCCAATCACACTCTCTTGTGCCACCCTAACCCCTTTCCTGGCTGTTTCCACCCTTCAGATGTGCCCCAACCCCCCCAGCCAAGTGACAGAGATGTCACACTTCCAGAGCTGGGGTGGGCCTTCAAAGCACAGCCCAATGGGAGCCCAAGAGACCCTCAAAAGGCATTTTAAGCAGCCCCTTCCCCCCTGAAAAGATGCGGAGTGCACTTTCCTCAGTGCTGCTAGCCAGTGAGGCGTGGAGGAGGCCGCTCTCCTGCCCTCTCCTCATCCCTTCCCCCGCTGGAGTGGCTGGTGCCACCATTGGGGTGAGCCTGGCACTGGCCTACGCTCTCCACTCACAGTGCAGCGGTGGGTGGGGAAGGCTCCTCATGCCCTTCCCCCACAACCCCAGGCACCTAGTCACAATCTGAGCCTTAATCTCATTTTATATATCAGTCCCTCCTTGGGCTGAGATAAGGCAATCCAGGACCCTAGGGCCGTCCCACGCTGAGGTCCCATATGGCCCTCCCCCAGGCTGTGGCCCTGCCCCTTCCTGTGTGGTAGCAGGTTTCAGAGTTAAGATGAATAGGGCAGTGTACACCTCTTGGAGCTATTGTTTCAGGCTCTCTGCAAACTCAGGTTACACTCACACCTTGTTTTCAGGCTTTCTTTGTGTCTATGAGGGTTAGAAACACAATTCTTTTAAAATGAAAACTGAGATTCTGATCTCATCAGGAGCTGGGGCCTTTGGCATGAGCCTGTGGTACCTGGGCCTTGATCCAGCCCCGGTGCCCTCAGCTCCCTTATAATGGTAGCTGCATTTTGTTGAACTCCCTACAGTTTGTCGGTATCGGTCTGGTGATGCGGTGGCCAGCAATTAATTCACTCTTCCAGATGTAGCCCCTGCTGCATTACACGATGGCTCTGCATGTGCCACCCCACATTTCTTGCTGCTACTACATCCCATTGCAAACTCCTGCCTAATTTGCTATCCCCTATCACTCCCACCCTCGTCTGGCCATCACTGCTTCCCAGGCTTGTCCCTCCCCCTGCGTGTCTGGGGCATCCGATTCTTTTCCCCAGATGCACTCTTCCAAGTTGAATCTCATGTTGTTATTTGTTAATAATGCTTATGTTATAATTATCTTAACAATGCAGCCAATCGTTGCAGGGTGTTGTGCATTGCCCCGTTAAGAGGGATCGTGCCCTGGGCTTCTTCAATCAACAGGAAGT